TCGCAAACAGCGACGCATCTTTCTAATGCCATTTGACAAACTATGACCATTACAGTAGCCAAAACCTGTAGAAAGTACTGTTGTGACGTAATGCTTGTGATAAGCACTTGTCAAGCTGCAAGCCTGGGCCAAGCTCAGAGATATAATATACACACACATATATACATATGACTACATTATGTATTATACAAATCCTGGTACATTCTAGAAACAAGAGTGACATTTACGCGGGCTTAAGAGATCGAAGAGTAATAATGATGACTCGAGAAATTTGATGCCTCGGTGGTGTGCCAGTGTTGCCAACGCGTGCGTCCTACACAGCTTTTCTGTACACGTCTGTCGTACACATGACTTATGTACACTGCTGTCATACACACGGCTGTTATGTACACTGTTGTCATACACACGGCTGTCTTACACACGGCTCTCGTGTATACTGCTGGCAATGCACACTCGCTCTAAAGAAGAAAAACTTGTGCAACCATTGTTGAGCACAGACAATGTTGTTGCACCAAGATCCTCTGCTGCTCTCTCCCCTCCTCCCAGATCCGGTACCCACACAGTTAGTTATAATGTTGCTACAGGAACACTCTTGACAACACAGTGTTGCTGCAGGAACACTCTTGACAACACAGTGTTGCTGCAAGAATGTATCAGATGGTCGTGGTGGTAATACTTAAGATAATACCAGATCAGATCAAATAATACTCAGTCCAGTCAGAACTGTAACGACTTGTATAACTTCTTAAGAATATAGTTTCATGTTCAGATTCCTCGAGCCGTTCAAGAATATGTATTTCAAACGAGTTCAATATCTGGGGCCAGATTCACGAAGCAGTTACGCAAGTACTTACGAACGTGTACATCTTTCCTCAATCTGTGACGGCTTTGGTTACATTTATTAAACAGTTTAGAAGCATGAAAACTTGACAATCAACTGTTGTTGTTATAAACAGCCTCCTGGTGCTTCCGAGCTCATTAACTGTTTAATAATTGTAAACAAAGCCGCCAAAGATTGAGAAAAGATGTACAGGTTCGTAAGTGCTTGCGTAAATGCTTCGTGAATCTAGTCCCTGGCCACAATACCTTACGTAAGGTATCTTAACGTAATCTTAACGAATCTTAACGTAAGCAATAAAGTAACTTACCAAGATACCAATACCTTAAAGATCAGTTATCTTCACACCTATCAAGCTATGGAGAAATCCGGCCACATTGAGGGGTATGTATCTTTTAGCACAAATCTGGTTACAGATTTCGTAGGCTTTTAAAGGTTATAGATCTATTGACTATTGGGATTATTGAGGCCTTTGTTTACCGTAGTTTGCAACCTAGATGAATACTTTAATCACAGAGTTCAGGAGTAAACTTATTGTAAGTACACTGACAAATACACTTCTGGGTGTAGATACACTGAAATAATGAGCGTATGGGTTGTAGATGGTGTGCGGTGAGTGTGTGTCAAGTGTGTTGACGAACTGAAACACTTAAGTCACTAGTGTAGAGGGTAGTGGGCGGGGCCCTCACCACCCTATGAGGGTGTGAGGGTGGTGGGCGGGGCCCTCACCACCCTGTGAGGGTGTGAGGGTGGTGGGCGGGGCCCTCACCACCCTGTGAGGGTGTGAGGGTGGTGGGCGGGGCCCTCACCACCCTGTGAGGGTGTGAGGGTGGTGGGCGGGGCCCTCACCACCCTGTGAGGGTGTGAGGGGGCTCCTCGTGTCCTCACACTCAAGATAAAAAGTACGTTGATTTATTTGACGATTGAGATAAGATTACCGACACATTACCGTTGTTCTCTGTCCCAGCTGTTATGGACGCAAGACTTGGCGCGCGACGACACGCATGCACGCACGCGCGAACACACACACACACACACACACACACACACACACACACACACACACACACACACACACACACACACACACACACACACACACACACACACACACACACACACACACACACACACACACACACACACACACACACACACACACACACACACACACACACACACACACACTTGCAAGTAGTCATAACTCCAGACCTAACACCAGGGGCACACACATTACCAGCATATACCGCACTGACAAATGGTAGAAATTTCCGCAAATATGTAAACCAAAGAATGGTCCAAAGATATGAAACACTGATCATTCCTAGTAAGAAAGAGTAAGAGAAATGGACCTCATCATCCCACTGTAGGAAAGACAGGACAATGATCTAAAGAGAAGTTATAGAATTATTGACGAAATGTCACATCTTAGATTGTGTCACAGTTCCGTCTCTGAGCTCATCTGCTTTGTTTTGCATTCCATCAGCATTGCTTCACCAGAGTTGTAGACTCTTCAGTGTCACTGCTCTCTATCTGGGGGTGACAGGATGAACAACCCAGCGGGTTTTCTTTCTATTGGGGAGTGTTGTACATGCTGCTATGGCGGTGTGTCCACTCACAGGATGAGTGGCGCTGCCCAATACTGTCACTATGGCGGTGTGCCACTCACAAGATGAGTGGCGCTGCCCAATACTGTCACTATGGCGGTGTGTCCACTCACAAGATGAGTGACGCTGCCCAATACTGTCACTATGGCGGTGTGTCCACTCACAAGATGAGTGACGCTGCCCAATACTGTCACTATGGCGGTGTCCACTCACAAGATGAGTGACGCTGCCCAATACTGTCACTATGGCGGTGTGTCCACTCACAAGATGAGTGACGCTGCCCAATACTGTCACTATGGCGGTGTGTCCACTCACAGGATGAGTGGCGCTGCCCAATACTGTCACTATGGCGGTGTGTCCACTCACAGGATGAGTGGGGCTGCCCAATACTGTCACTATGGCGGTGTGTCCACTCACAGGATGAGTGGCGCTGCCCAATACTGTCACTATGGCGGTGTGTCCACTCACAAGATGAGTGGCGCTGCTCAATACTGTCACTATGGCGGTGTGTCCACTCACAGGATGAGTGGCGCTGCCCAATACTGTCACTATGGCGGTGTGTCCACTCACAAGATGAGTGGCGCTGCCCAATACTGTCACTATGGCGGTGTGTCCACTCACAAGATGAGTGGCGCTGCTCAATACTGTCACTATGGCGGTGTGTCCACTCACAAGATGAGTGGCGCTGCCCAATACTGTCACTATGGCGGTGTGTCCACTCACAAGATGAGTGGCGCTGCCCAATACTGTCACTATGGCGGTGTGTCCACTCACAAGATGAGTGGCGCTGCCCAATACTGTCACTATGGCGGTGTGTCCACTCACAAGATGAGTGGCGCTGCCCAATACTGTCACTATGGCGGTGTGTCCACTCACAAGATGAGTGGCGCTGCCCAATACTGTCACTATGGCGGTGTGTCCACTCACAAGATGAGTGGCGCTGCCCAATACTGTCACTATGGCGGTGTGTCCACTCACAAGATGAGTGGCGCTGCCCAATAAACTCGCCCCTCGGGGCAAAATTTAAAATTTATCTAGGGAAGCCCCTAGGCCGGAGTACTGGGTTGGTTGGTGTGTAGAGCGGGAAAAGGTGAAAGAGGGGGGGGGGGGGGGAGTTTTAGTGTGGACTAGTGAAGTAGTGGTGTGGGGGGGGGGGTGTGGGGGGGGGGGTTACCTTGGGGACAGCTGTGGTAAACATGGTCTCCAGGTTACAACAGCCATCACCACCACACTACCAACAACCACCACACTACTACCAACAACCACCACACTACTACCAACAACCACCACTACTACCAACAACCACCACACTACTACCAACAACCACCACTACTACCAACAACCACCACACTACTACCAACAACCACCACTACTACCAACAACCACCACACTACTACCAACAACCACCACTACTACCAACAACCACCACACTACTACCAACAACCACCACACTACTACCAACAACCACCACACTACTACCAACAACCACCACTACTACAACAACACCAACTACCAACAACCACTACTACCAACAACCACCACACTACTACCAACAACCACCACACTACTACCAACAACCACCACACTACTACCAACAACCACCACACTACTACCAACAACCACCACACTACTACCAACAACCACCACACTACTACCAACAACCACCACACTACTACCAACAACCACCACACTACTACCAACAACCACCACACTACCAACAACCACCACACTACTACCAACAACCACCACACTACTACCAACAACCACCACTACTACCAACAACCACCACACTACTACCAACAACCACCACACTACTACCAACAACCACCACACTACTACCAACAACCACCACACTACCAACAACCACCACACTACTACCAACAACCACCACACTACTACCAACAACCACCACTACTACCAACAACCACCACTACTACCAACAACCACCACACTACTACCAACAACCACCACACTACTACCAACAACCACCACTACTACCAACAACCACCACACTACTACCAACAACCACCACACTACTACCAACAACCACCACACTACTACCAACAACCACCACTACTACCAACAACCACCACACTACTACCAACAACCACCACACTACTACCAACAACCACCACACTACTACCAACAACCACCACACTACTACCAACAACCACCACTACTACCAACAACCACCACACTACTACCAACAACCACCACACTACTACCAACAACCACCACTACTACCAATCAAGAAGCTCAACTAGCAACCTCACCCAAGATATAACCCCACAACATTTGCCTAACTCAAAGGTAACTTTTTAGTGTTGGGTGAACAGAGGCATCAGGTGAAAGGAAACGTGCCCAATCGTCTCTGTCCCGCCCAGGGATCAAACCTGGGAACCTTAAGCCGTACACATAGACTACTGCGCTACAGGACCCTTTCATTGCTCCTATATCGTAGCTTCTTTCTTATTCCCTACTTTATTCGCGAATTAATTGATGATTGCATCTTGCGGGGTAAAATATACAGTATAATTGTATACATATAAATATAC